ATGGAATATTGCGAGAGAGAGAGAGAGAGAGAGAGAGCGTCGATTATCATGCACGGAGAGCCTTTTTAGGGAGTTTGTAGTTGCCGGTTGGGTTGGTGGTGGTGGTGTGGTTGGGGGGGGGGGGGAGGGTCTACATGCTATACCGTACCATACCAACCATCCATCCATCCACAGTGTAGCACAATGCCTCACGGGCGAGCAAGCATTAGGCAAGCAAGGGAAAGAGAGGGGAAAGGAGAAATAGGGCAATTCAAGAAAAAAATAAGAAGAAAAAAGAGGAAAAAAAAGATCACAACAGAAAACAGAAAGACTAGAGAGAAAGAAAAAAACACCGCCACCACAGGCGCAGAACCACAGCCAATTCCGCCCCCCCCCCCCCCTCCCCAACTAAAACCTAACTAACCGCCCCCTCCCCACCCCACAACGCCACTACCTCTCCTCCTCCTCCTCCTCCTCCTCCCCGCCCTCCACCCTCTTCACCTCCACCCCCGCCTCCGCCAGCCTCCCATCCTGCCTCGCGCGCTCGCCCTCCTGCCAGCGCACGAGCGCCGCCTGCGCATGCGTCTTGAAGCCAAAGCAGCGCGGCGTGTAGCGCTCGTTGCACTTTGGCGGCAGCAGGCCCGGGTACACCTGGAAGAGGATGTGCGGGAACGAGGCGCCAAAGTAGGCGCCGTCGATGGCGGCATGGCGCGTCGACTTTGGCGAGTACACGTCCTCGCACTTTGCGCAGTACAGCTTGACGGACTTTTGCTGCGCAATGTCCGAGAGCCCCAGCGGGAGGAGCGGGTGCGAGCGGCAGAGGACGCGGGGGCAGCGGCCAAAGTCGCATTTTTTGTATTTTTCGAGCTGCGCAGGGGGGGGGGGGGTGTTAGTCCTGCTGTGAGTGGGGGAAGGGGGGGGGGGGGGGATGGAGGGGGATGGAGGGGATGGAGAGATGGGGTGGGAATACCATCTTGGCAAGCCCGCGCGTGGTGATGATGTACCGCGCGTGCACGAGGCCGTACAGGTGCCTGGCCGACTTTTCAATCTGCTCGCGCACCTCGTCCTCGCACTCAAAGTCGAAGACGTCGGTGACGAGGTCGAGCGCGTACTGGTAGTACTGCACCTCCTGCTGCAGCCCCGTGAGGTTGAAGCGGTCCGTGAGGTACTCCTCGTCAATCTCGCAAAAGTACTCGTGGCCGCGGGCGGAGATGAACTGGACGAAGGACATTGCTGTGGTTAGTGGCTTTGTCTTTTCTTCTTCTCTTTTCTCTTTTTTTGTGTGGGGGTGGAGGGGAGGATAGAGGGGAGGGGAGGAAGGACGGGAGGGGAGGGAGGCAGTTACCCAGTCGCGCCAGTAGTTTTGATAATCGCTGTCGGTCTCAGAGTTGTAGTCTTCCACTACGGGGAGGTTAGCCATTTGCCCTCTTCTCTGCCCGGGGCCCCACCCACTCCATCTCCGCATCTGCCGGAGCGAAGGGTGGGGAGGGGGTGGGGGAGTCCTTACTGGCTACAAGCTAGCTGCGGGTGGCTGGGTGGTTGGTTATGGAGTTGTGTAGTTGGCGCTGTATATGTATGTATGTAGGTAGAGATGGAGAGAGAGAGGTTTGAGCTGTGTGCTGTTTCGATATATCGAGATATGTATAGTACACTGCACCCCGGGCCGCCCTATCGCAGACTGTGTGTGTGTGTGTGTGTCTGTGTGTACTCTACCTACCTACACCAGTCAGTCACTGCACAGCACAGCACAGCAGCAGCAGTCAATTCCACGGAGCGGCCTAGCGAACCTATCGGAGCGGGGTGGCTGTGGTTGTAGATGCTGTGGGGGGCTGCGGGCTGCGGGCTGCTGGCTGCGGGAGAGCTGTGGAGCGTTTGGATGCCGTCCCCGCGTTGGGCCGATGCGGAGGAGGAGGAGGAGGGGGAGGAGGAGGGGGAGGAGGAGGAGGAGGAGAGGGCTGTGATTAGATGGCTATGGCTATGGCTATGTCTATGGCTATGGCTATGGCTATGGCTAAGGCTGCTGGCCCGGTCTGGCTGGCTGGCTGGCTGGGGCGAGGAAGGGAAGGTTGGACAGAAAGTGTTGGCTGTGTGGTTGGCTGGTTGGCTGGCTGGCTGCTGCTGGCTGCTGGCTGCGGCTGCGGCTGCCATCTCGCCCAACTTTATCCGCAGAGCCGCACTTCTTGCCTTGCTGATAGAGTGCAATAAACATACACATACCATACCATACACATACATACATACAGGGCAGGGACCATCATCCTCGCCATCATCTGCAACTCAATCAACACCAACATCTAAGGACTCGAGGCCCCCAACAATACAATGTCCCTCTCCGCGATGCGTCAGAGACGAGCCGGGCTATGGCTACAGTTGTCGAGAGTACACTCATCGATCCCAGCTGTGTAGGTACATGTAACCAACTCCATATCCTGGCCCCTGCTTTGAGGGGAGATGACTCGCTCGACTCACGCACTGCATATATAGGAATTGACATAGTAGAGTACAGGCATAGACACAGGCATAGACAAGAGGGCTGCAGCTGCATCCACCACTCGTCAAAGAAGCACCCCAACCCCCACAAAAAGCACACAATGTCCCCCACCCCCACCCCCACCCCCAGAACCACCCCCACCCCCACAACCCCCAAGATCTGCTTCATCTCCGGCCCCCTCATCGCCGACGCCGCCTACCTCCACACGCACTACGCCCCGCGCCTCCTCCACGCCCTCTCCGCCAACCACCACTTCCTCCTCGGCCCCTCCCGCGGCATCGACACCCTCGCACTCCACTACCTGCTCGCGCAGGCCTGCGACCCCGCCCGCATCACCGTCCACCTGCCCGCCCGGGACGCCGCCCGCTACGCATGGTTCGCCGCCCGCGGCGGCAGGATCGTGGTCTCGTGCGCGGACCACACGCGCCGCGATGAGGCAATGACAAGGGCGAGCCATTATGACGTGCTGCGGTACCGCCCGCCGGCCGAGTGTGTGGCGCTGTTTGGCGCGCGGTATAGGGCGAGGGTTAGTGGGACGGAGAAGAACGAGATTCGGAGGAGGAGCGGGGTGGGGTTGGTGTGGGTGGAGGGTGTGGAGGAGGTGGAGGCGGCGGCGGCGGGGGGTGTGGGGGCTGCAGTGGGGGGGGCGGGGGGGGGGCGGGGGAGAGTGTGTGGAAAGTACAGAATGGTCAGGTGCTGGAGAAGGGTCAAGTGGACCAGCCGGGGAAGCTGGAGGTTGAGTTGGAGGGGTTGAAGTGATCGTGTGGTGGTGGTATAGATGTGTAGAGTATGTAGAGTACGTAACATAGCGTATATAGAGCCCATAGACTAATTATAATGCACCTCTCAGACAGCAGTCCCGCTTTTAGACTCACCACCCCCCCACCAAGTCTGGAGTAGAAAAGACTAGTACTAGCCAATACCCTCGAAATCGAAAGCGGCCCTTGAATTTAACCCCAATTGCTCGCTCTCGGACATGTATGATACATACATACATCTAGGCCCCCCCCCCAAAGAAAAACCGTTGACCAGAAGACAGACACTAGATATAATCTGCTGTGTGTGTACCTACATAAGTACATGTCATGTAGAGTAGCACCTGGGACAACCCGACGAGACGGTGCACGATTCTACATATCGGATTAGGACGCTGGAAGGTCCCCCCTTGAATACACTGTACCTACAGCCGCGGTCGAAAAGACTTGGCACCCCTAGGCCAGGCCACAGAGGAGTGCTTCTGCCTTGTATTCAAGGAGGTCATAACTGGAGAGAGCTTTCAATATCTCCACTAGTGCGATCGTGTCTTGGGCGTTGTGAATATGCGGGGGCAATTGGATATAGTTGGTGGTAGCTACATGTATTAGCGGACTCAATGTAGTGGTGCTAGGGCTTTTCGAACGCGGCTGTAGGTATATACATACATACTGATACCGTAGTAATCCGTCCCAGTGGACGCTCACATTGGCGTGAACTTGAAATCCCTTGATCTGGTCATGGCATCCCCCCCCCCGAAGAAGTGCTGTGAATGGCAACTTTGACCTACATGTCTCTGTGGATGGGGACATGGACTATCACTCGCCATTATTACATGTCCCCCGCCTGGACAGCTAGGCTGCATGCAGGGGGGTTTCGTTTCCAACCCCGACGCCCCTAAGTTAGCTAGGGTACTCTAGTAGCGGGGTGTAGAGTACCTACAGCACATTATATATATACCAGTCCCCTGCTCGGACAGAGGTCTGGTAGTATAGGTATAGGTACCTACATGTAGTAGTAGAGTATGTACATGTAGTATAGCAGGCTTTGTGAACGGGACGCGGTATAACGATAATTAGTGGGTTTTTTTTCTTCCTCTTTGTCCGATATAATTGACAGTCCGCCGGCTGCAATAGCGGCCTGCCGAACCGTCAGTTTTGAATCGACGAGGGAGGGTATCGGCACAGGGTACGGTACCGGAACTCTCTATCAATGCGCAAAGGGCCTTCCTTATATACATGTATGTGTCTCGATTCTCGTCGCCACTGGTAATAATGGGTCGAGATCTATGTACTAAATAATTGAAGTATAATGACCTGCAGCTGTCAGGGCCGAACTGTCAATTGCCGAAATCGACAGTTGTCAAATACGCTCTAGTCTGTGCCAGTAAGAGCTAGCTAGCGCTTGGGTTTTGGGTTTTGGAAATGTCAAGGTCCAGTGCCAGTTCAGGATATCGAATATAAATTTAGTTAATCTGTCTATCGGCTGGTCCTCTATAGATGCCTCTCTCTGACCACGCTACAGCTACATAACTCTATAATTCTGTAATTGCTCCACGCATAAAATCTTTTTTTCTCACCCGCAGCTCCTTCGATCTCGAGGTTCTCTGGTTGCCCCCCCCCACCAATCCGATCCAATCCAATCCGTCAATGACACATCCCTTCCAAGCCTTCCAGCTTACTAACCCCCCCCCCCCCCCCGGTCACACACCACACCCGTGCCCCGCTACCTAATAAAACCCCCAGGCTATATAAACTAGATCCACCCATTACAGCATCCCTTTGTGGTGTAGTTGGTATCACACCGGACTGTAATAGCTGCAATCATCCGTTGGTCACCAGTTCGACTCTGGTCGGAGGGATAACATTTTTTGTCTTTTCGCCCCACAAGTCTCGCTCCCCACCTGCTCCACACACCCCGGTCGTGTGGTGTAGTCGGTTTTTGTTTTTGCGGGGTGGGCGGTGGTGGGGAAGCGAGCGAGTCACGGCGCGTCACTCGCTCGCGCTGTGCGTGTGCTCTGGAGTCTGGAATCTGGAATGGTGGTGATTCTTTCTTTCTTTCTTTCTAGACTACCTACTAATTGAGCTATGTATGTATGCAAACCTACCAATGACCCGAAACGCCGTGCTTCCTTTCCAGTTATAATACAAATACAAAAAAAACGCCCCCAATACATCGTTCTGGCGGGGAATGCTAGGTCCTTTTCCGAATGTTCTTTACCTTCCTCTTCTTGAAGACGATCCCATCACTGACATTCTCCGGCTCCTCCTTCTCCTTCTTGACGACCTCCGCCGCGGGCGCCTCATTGGCATCGACCTCAGCCTTGACATCCACGACGCCCTCCATGTCTGTCTCCTCCTTCTTGATCCGCGGCACCTCATCCTCCTCCTCCTCCTCCTCCTTCTTGACCGCCGCCTCTTCTTCCTCCTTCTTCACCACCCCCTTCTCCTCCTCCTCCTCCTCCTTCTTCACCTCCCCCCCCGCCTTCCCCTTCCCCTTAAACACCATCGGCCTAAAGCCACCCACACGCCCGCCCGCCGCCCCCGCGCCACCCGGCGGATACGTCCTCGTCTGGATGCGGAAGCCGCGCATCGCGCGCTCGTCCTCGTCCATAGCGTCCCAGCGCCGCTCCTGCTCTTCCGCGTCATGCTTCCGCTTCAGCTCCGCACGCAGCCTCTCCTTCTCGCCCCCGCCCCCCACCTCCTTCTCGCGCCCCCCCGCCGTCGTCGTCGTCCGCTCCCCCGGCGCCTCGGCGGCGGCGGCAGCCGTCCAGTCGCCGACCATGGCCAGCTCGCGGCGCGCCTCGTCGGGCAGCGCGACGCCAAGCGACTCCAGCTCCTTGAGGTGGCGCTTGCGCTCGTCTTCGGTGGCGGCGCGTGCGGGCGCCGGTTTGAAGGTTGGTGCTGGCAGGCCCGTGGAGGAGGAGGAGGAGGAGGAGGAGGGGCCGGAGACGAGGGCGTTGAGGCGGGCGACTTCGCGCTTGGCGGCGGTGGCGGCGGTGGCTTCTCGCTCGGTGGTGCGGTGGAGGTCGCGCAGGAAGCGTTTTAGCGCGCCTTGGTGCTTGGGCGACGCGTCGTGGTTCTTCTTGCTGACGGGGGTGTCGACGACGAATGTTTTGCAGTGCTTGCAGTAGTATTTTGGCTGTGGGGGTTGTGTTAGTGGTGTTGGTGCAGGAGGGGGGGGGGAGGGGGAGGGGAGGGAGGAGCATACGGTGGATTTCCAGTATTCGGACATTGTGTGGTTCTGTTCTGCGCGGTTCTGTTCTGTGGCGGGGATGTTGTGGTGGATTGCTCTGTGGTGGAGTTGTTCTGGTTGTGTTTGCGAGTGAGAGAAGCTGCCCTCCAGTGCGCAGCTCCTGGCCTGTGCAACGACACTTACCCGGCGTGCACTCAACCCGCCAACCCGCCCCTCCCCCGCAATTGCACAACCACAACCACAACCACCATCAATCATCCTATCGATAATATATACAGCATACACATCTGACATCTCCACACCCCACACCCCACACCCCACACCCAACACCAAACACCCCACCAATCCTCCCAAGATGTTCAAGAAAGGGTACCCCCTCCCCCTTCCCCTTCCCCTTCCCCTCCTCTCCACCCCCCTCCCCCCCTCAAAACCAGACTAACACCACCACCCACCACCCACCTCCACCCCCCAGCTTCACCGGCACCCAAAAGACCAAACTCAAATCCTCCGTGCAGCGCGCCCTCCGCACAAAGATCACCGACCAGTTCCCGCTCCTCGCGCCGCACATCGACGAGCTGATCCCCAAAAAGTCGCAGCTGGACCTCGTCAAGGCGCCCGACCGCATCGCGCTCTACGCCCTCGGCCCCGACACGCTCTTCTTCCAGCACCACGACGACGCGCTCTTCCCGCACCTGCGCGTCGTCCACCGCTTCCCCCACTGCTTCCCAACCCTCCAGATCGACCGCGGCGCAATCCGCTTCGTCCTCAGTGGCGCGCAGCTCATGTGCCGCGGCCTGACGTCGCCGGGCGCCCGCCTGCCCGCGCCAGGGGAGCCCGAGGTCAAGGCGGGCACGGTGGTGGCTATTGCCGCGGAGGGAAAGTGCGAGGCGTGTATGGTCGGGTTGCTGAAGATGGATACGGAGGCGATCAAGAGTGTGAATAAGGGCGTGGGCGTGGAGACGGTGCATTATCTCGGGGATGGCCTGTGGAGGTTGGATGTGGACTGAGTACTGCTGGGTAGCTGCGAATGGTTATTGGGGGGGGGGTTCTTTTTTCTTCTTTTGTTTGCTTTTCTTTTCTTGCTCTTTTTTCTTTTTTCTTCTCTTTTTCTCTTTCACGTAAATGGGCTGGTTGATAGATTCGGGGCCCGCGTTTAATATCATGAGCTTTTTTTTTTATTTTTTATTTTCTAGTCGCTGCTACTCTGCTCTTCTTGCTCTTCTCCCGTGAACAAGTAGAGTGAGTACATGTAGCCTGGGATCCCGTAATTCCGGCATACCGATCATTACCACCCCCCCCACCGATCATTACCACCCAACCCCCAACCAACCCCCCTTCCACCCAACCACTCGCGCCCACCAACCCAACCCAACCAACCACAGCGGGCCTCCCCCCCCCCACAACACAGCCATCGGTTACCCCCCCGTGATAAGGCGGAGAACCTTCAATCTGGACCAATGGACATTGAGAACCACTGGTGGTCCATCGACTCTATTACTTATAATTACACTGCATAGTATGCCCCCCCCCCCCCTTGCCAAATATTCACTTCGCCATGATGATGTAACGTGACATAGCGAGGCCAACTGGCGATGGGAATGCAATGATGGCATTACATACATATGTAGGTCTACTCTACCTACATGTACATACATACATCCCGTCCCTTGGTTTCACCCTACCCTCTGCGCGCCGCAATTGCATCTCCATCTGCAAGCGCTCCGCACCGCACCCGCGACAAACAGGAAACACGCAAGAAAAAAAGAAAGAAAAAAGCATTCTCTCTACATTTGATACTGGACAACAGAAAAAAGAACAGACATAGACAACGAAGCACCCCCCCCCCCACACACAAGCACCCCATACAAAGACGGACACAGACACTCTACTACACACAGACAGTAGCAGTATACGTAGCAGTGGTAGTAGTCACAATAGTAGTATCAAGGTAACAAGAAAGTGGGGCAGAAAATAAGAGCCGAAATATATAATTCAAAGTACAAACACTCCCGTCCCATCCCATCCCATCCTATCCCATCCAGCCCACCCGTTCCAAGTCCCGTACCCCATTAGACGCACGCAAAAGACTAATTTTTAAAAGAAGAAACAGTAGAAAACAAAGGCAGTGGAGAAGAAAAAAAGAAAAGCCCAAATATGATAAAACACGAGACTAGGCCCACTAGACGCAAAGTAACAGCACACAAAACAGAGGCCCCAAAAGCAGAACACAAAAAGCAGACCGCAGCCCGATACAAACAAACAAGAAAAGGCGGGAAAAGAAGAGAAGAAAGAACAATTGAAAATAAGGTCAATAACTAAAATACGGCCCAAGCAGCCGGGGGGGAAAAAATAAAGAGAAAGAAAAGAAGAAGGAGAAAAGAGACAGCACATCTACGTATACCTACCTTGCCCGTACCCATTCCGCGCATACCCTGAACCCCGACCCTTAAACCCCCTACTCCCATCCAAGTCCGGGCCTCGTGGTTCTCTCAGAGCTTGCACAACACCAGCCTGCATTGACCCAGGCGCCCTAACGTTCCCCCCCAGCGCCGGTGCCGGCGGCGTCTGTGGATTATCGTACACGAAGCGGCCCTCTCCCACAGCTGCCCCGTAGACCCCCGGGTTCTGCGTCTGCCGCGGTGGGAACTGTGAGGTGTAGTTGTAGCCACCGTTGACATTTCCATTTCCATTTCCATAGTTGCCATTGCCGTTCCCATAGTTGCCATTGCCGTAGTGGCCATTGTTGCCGTTGTTATAGTAGTCGTACTCGCCCGCACCCGCGCTGTAACCAGTCCATTGTTGGCTTTGCTGCTGCTGCACGGGTACCACCGTTTCCCTCGAGAAATCGTCCCAGTCGAGGCCACCCTCGCTCAGATACACGCCGCCCTCCAAATCACGATCGACCACGATCTCCTGGCTATGCTTCGCCGTCAGCTGGCTCTCCAACAGCTTCTCGTCAACCTTTTGTAGAGACCGCCTTCCATCAGCGGGCACCGCCGGCGCTGCTTTAAACTCCCCGCCATTGAGTTTGAACGAAGTAACGGCACTATTACGCGGCGGCGGCGATCGACTACTCGGCGTGCGACTCTGCGGTACCGGCGTCGTACCTCTGCTGTTGTTTGTGCTGTGCTTCCCGCTGTTGTTGGGCGTCTGAGAGGGTGATTTGGACTTTGGCGTTGTGTTTGCGTCGGGAGAACGTTTTCGCTGTTTCTGCTGCTGCTTAGGTGTGCTGTTGTTGCCGTTGGCGCTCGCAGGTGTGGAGGGGGAGGGGGAGGCAGCCTCGCCCATAATGCGTTCCCGGGCTTCCCGGTACCGTCGCTCCTTTTCCTTGCGCTCTCGCTCGCGGCGCGACTTGTCTGTTTCCTCCGAGGTTACGGCCGGCGCGGGGGCCTCGGGAGTGTCGGGTTCACGCTTGAGAATCTTTAACTCGGGCCGGTATGTGGTTCGCGGCTGGCCGCCCATGGTATAAAGCTCAGTAGAGTCTGGGTGAAGGATGCGCGGCGAGAAGGCCGGTGCGGCTGGATTAGGCCGAGTGCTTGTGCTAGGTTTGCGGGGGGCCCAGTCTTCTTCTTCCCATGCGCGTGTCGTCATGTCTGGCTGTGTGTGTGGGGTGTGGTGGGGTGGTGGTGGGCTTTAGAGAGAAAGAATTGTTTGCTGTAGTAGATG